ACCACATATAGTGTATATGTAATTTTACACTTGAATTGCGTGACTTGCCGCGATTCTCACATTTCACAGCTCGATATTTGTTTGCCGCCTGCTTTTTTCTGTCTCGGCCTCCGACGCTGATACTCTGAGCCCGCGATTCCGCAATCCAGCACGCAAATTGAAAAGGCATTGATAGTTTAATTAGCTGTGAAATAAGCTATAATTACTTAACTCTGGCAAGCACAAAGAAGTTTTGTTCAACGATTCAAATTGTTTGTGCATAAATAAATAAATAATAAATCGTTGTTATACCCTGAACCAGAAGGTTTAAAAATGTATATTAGGTTTGTGCAAAACATCTCCGGTCCCATGCAGATTCAGAATTTATATAATCTGCATGACGTGAGAATTCGATCTAGACATGTCTGTCTGTCTGTATCAACGCCTGTATTTCGGAAACGACTGAGCCTATATTGAACAAACTTGGTGTGTAGACTCTCCTTAAAACCATGCAGCACAAGTTTATTATTATTATTTTTCTTTTTATATATATATATATATATATAGATATATATATATATATATATATATATATATATATATATATATATATATATATATACAAGTACATATTTTGTATTCTTCGCCCCAAAACCATTGCATTGCTAAGTGGCCTGTGAAACAAATCAAAATCCAACCTGCTTTCACTTTCTTCGGAATTGCTCCTTCTTCTAATTCAGTCCACGGGCTATCTCTGTCATAGCAGCTCTTCTGGCCTTGTTTGAACTGACTTCCTAGTTCGGTTACGATATTGGTTAAACCTGATAATTTCAATGTAATATTATTTAAGAAAAGATCAAGATCTTTACAAGGCAAGTCGGGTATTCTACGTTGTTATATGATTATTTTTGAAGCTAATTTGAGTATCATTTGAGAATATAAATAACTGATTCGAAGATCAATGTTTTTCTTCTAATAATAATATTTAGAAAAATAAATAAGTAATTACTAAAACGCTTCAAAGTAGATTGCAAATTACAAATTTCAATTTAATCTTTAAATATGACATGAGTAATAATTTAGTGGCCTATTATTAAGGCGGGTGTTCTTTATTTTGGCTTACACTGCGCCCCCGTCCCCAAATATTACTTTCACTGCCACATCGATGCATTCACTTTCCGGCCAAATGACATTCACTTGCTCTGCTGGCCAACACTAATAAGCCATTTTGATTGTGCCGACTGACTTGACTACCTTCTCTGCTTATTGTCTGCCTGCTGAGTCTCGGCTCATTAAAAGCGTTTTCATTGCAACTGCATTTGGTGGCTGGCTGCCATTAAAAGTCATTAACAGTTACCAGAAAAACCACACCTGAGTGGGCCAAGTTAGTGATTAGTAGTCCGATCCGATCCGGACCGGCTCGGTCCAGTCGAGTCGTTGCTGGACAAGTACTCGTATGTATATATTTACAGTCTATAGTTGTTCGTGATTTGTAAAGTGCAGCGTATGGCAATCGTTCATTGATTTGATATCGTCGTGCCTTTTACTAAACATAAATGTTAAATATTACACATACGCCGTGTTGTGTTGTGATCTGAATTGCAACCTCAATATAGCATATAAGTTGTGTGTACTTGATTGTTGGTTTGTCTCGCTGTCAATACTTTTATGTTCCACAGAAACAGAAAAAGCAACAGCAACAGCAACAACAAGAGCACTGTCATAACTTTAAAAAGTAACAAGACGTTAAAAAAGAGTTGGCATAATATGCTTAGTAGTAGCAGCTCACAGCTGGCTGGCCGGCAAGAAATAAACACGGCAACGTGGCCAAATACCCCAGGCCGCTGTTAACTGACAAATGTTGTTGATTGTGGCTGCACTTGTTGGTGTTGTTGTTGCTGTTGTGGTTGCTGTTGTTGACTTTGCACAAATCGCAACGCCACCGACGTTTGTTAAGCCGCAAACATTTGGCCATTTTGGAATGGCTATAGCTCTTATTGCTTAAGCAGCAGCCATCGCCAGCTGCCTGCCTGCCTGGTAGTCGTCCTGCTTTGGTATTTTGGCGCGATGGCCATCATTTGACAGCACTCTGCCATCAAAAATTGCATATCTGGCGTTAAAATTGATGCTGCAATTCATTCGATTTGCTGCAACCAGTCGTCACAGTGAAAGTCATTTGTGCCGCATTATGTATACTATTTCTGGATGCTACATTTCAATCAAATTTGGTAACGAATTTGGTAATCAAATTGAGGACGTCGCGACGTCGTAATAGTACGTCCACGTCCATTAAAAATTATGAATAGCTGCCCGCTATTCTTCTACTATTATTGATGGCTGTGTGTGTTGTCGCTTTTCTATGCAGATGAATGCGAACAATATTTTTTATTCGGTTATATCATCATCGGGCCCAAAAGTTGCAGCTCACAAATCTTCTGTCATCATCTCACCACACATACTAGTCCACACACTAAATCTTCAATCGGCGCCCCCAGTCAACCAACCAACAGACTAGACAATTCATTGTTCACTTTTTCCCCAATTGTCGGCAGCAGTTTCGATAAAACGTTCCGACTTATCGTCGTCTCGGCAATCGCACACCTTCCAACTTGCTCGGCCAACAGGTTCTGCTAACGCGGTTGACGTCGACATCGACGTCCGTCCGTCCGCCCGGCCGCTGTCCTCTAATCAGCATGCAGCCATCGGCACATAGGCGGCTTTAAATAAAAATAAAAGAAAAATTGCATGCGGTAGCTTTTCAATTTCGCTCGCGCCATATCTTCATTTGCCAATCACTTGTTTGTTTCTTTAATTAAGCCAACATAGCAAGGCATTAAAAAAATAATAAACGCGATTAAAATATTTAAGTGCCGGGCTCAACCGGGATTTGAACCCGGGACCTCTCGCACCCAAAGCGAGAATCATACCCCTAGACCATTGAGCCGCCTGCACAGTGCACGGCCTGTTTCTATTTTATTTGCTCGCTCTCTGTCTCTTTCCCTCTCTTGGCCAACTTTATTTTGGCCCATGCTGTTGACGTATTTTTGTATGATCCGGTTTGCAACTTGGCTAAAATTAAATGTCCGCAAATTATTGTCATTATTTTATAATGACTAAATATTTAGCATTTCTCTTACGATTTTTTTAATATTTAATTAAGTTTTGTAAATGTAATTATTTTTATTTTGGGCAAAAAATACTTTAATGCTCGCCGTGAAGTATGCAGCACACTTTTCTGCAACTTAAAACATCATCTGCAAAGTATGCCACACAATTTTGTAAACTCTAAATAGCATATTCAAATATATTAGGGTACTCTCGACTTTGCTAAACGCTGCAAAAAAAACTTACTTTGAACAATAATTATATTTACTGCATATATCTATATATATTAATGTCTGATTAACTATTATTGCTCTGCGATAAGTTTTCCTTGCTGGTCTAGGCTTACTCTGCACTAGACGTGCCTTTGAGGCTAGTTTAACTCAAGTGGGGACAAGTTAAACAGAATTGCTGTTGTTTTTTTTTTTTCGCCTTTTGATTTCAAGCTCAGTTCGGTTATAAAATACTAGCGACCCGGTACGTGCTTCGTCGCTACGTATAAAGTGAAATATTGAAAAATAAAAAATTAAATTGCAACATCATATTCATTTGTTCAAACAAAAAAATAGTTTATTAATTGATAGCTATTTTAAAACTTAATCCAAAAAAAACATTTCGATAAAAAATATTTTTTGTTTTCCCATTTTGAGCATGAACAGGCAACATAAAGTTGGCCGTGTGAAAAACATGATTTTTCTAAATTCATACCACAATACCCATCAAAAATTTAAATTTTACACCAAAATCCACATTAACAAAATGATCCATCATTTATTAAACTCATTTGTTACAAAAACTTCACATAACCCATCTACTAAATAGTCCGAAATAGGACTAAGCCGAACAAATTTGGTTTGGTTAGATGAGCCTGTTCTTGAGATAAGCAATTACAACGAAAAGTGGCATTGATTTTTATAAATACTTGTATATAGAAGAAGAAGATGATAATCTAAACGATAAGTGTGCTAAAACGAAAAGAAAACAAAAAGAAGGCAGACCCTTTAAAATTGATCGAGTTTTGATCATCAAAGATTTAAATAAAATAAATAAAATAAATAAAATAAATAAAATAAATAAAATAAATAAAATAAATAAAATAAATAAAATAAATAAAATAAATAAAATAAATAAAATAAATAAAATAAATAAAATAAAATAAATAAATAAATAAATAAATAAATTAAATAAATAAAATAAATAAATAAAATAAAATAATTAACATCAAAAGTACTGAATTCGACAACTAATCGCCTAACTATGTGACCACGCCCGTCGATAAGGTTGCAGAAGAATTCTAAAGGGAAAAGGGATCCAAACCTAGCGGGAAGGTATAAAACATATTTAAGCAACGCGCATCTTTGGAGTTGGACTACAAGGAAAAATATTTACTGTGCTGCGATCCGTATAGCGGATTGGCGGATAGGAGCAGAAACCTAGGCCCCACCTCAGTGTATAAAGCGACAAGCGAATGTCCATTATGAATGCTGTAAATAGTGGACCTAGATTATGACGCTCGTCAATATTGTTAAATGAACGCACTGATAGATAAATCGGTACGATCGCCATCCTAGCATCTGGATTGACTACAAAGGAGAAACTGCCCTTCAATAAGCACGAATATAATCTGCTACCTAGTTCCATTAAGTTCATTAAGTATTCAGTATTTGTCTTAAGAATAGTTGTACATTTATTTATACAAATAATATTAATATATATACAACACTATATGTATGCAAATCTAAGTGTAAATAATTAAAATTAGGAATGAATGCAAATCCAAACTAAAAAGGTATTCTGAAGCTTGTTTTTTGCAAACTCCGATAATGAAATCATGTTAAAAAAATACTTTTACATGCGCGCTTAAGAGCACTCATATGTTAATAATCTGAAGGATATCTTATGATTATCGTATTGTTAATATTTTCAAGCAAAGACATTTTTCTGCAAACAAGGCAATGAAATGACCACGAATTGTAAATCTACAAACTAATAGGCGCCATCAATTTAAAACTATTTTAAATGCTGTATGGAATTAATTAATTAAATATATCATCGACCAGCTCCTTGGTAATAATGCGGTGCGGTCTCGTTGGATTCACCTTGGGGCGCTGATATAGTCGTGCATTGATGGCGTAGAGTCTCGGCGATAAATCACAGCGTACATTGAACCACCAGTCGCAGACGAAAACAGCCTGGGAGAATTGTGTGCCATTTGGGCAGAGGAAGGAGGCCTGACGTCCATCGATGTCGCAGTAATGCCAGCCTGAAATATCAGATTGTAAAGATATGATATGTAAGATGTGTGTGTACTTGCAAACAAATTTCCATAACGCGAACTAAGTATTAAGGTTGGGCACAAAACAAAACGGGTTTGTACCAGAACGTAATACGAACATATATTTAGATGTTAAGTTTTTAGGCTTTAGTTTTTTAAGTTTTTAAACCAACTTGAGAGGACTGTCAACCACACTGATAAAAAAAAACATCGATTTTGCACCATCGTGTGTTTTAGTAAGTATGAAGTGTGCACACTTAAATTTAATATTAAAATATTAAGTTTAAAGTGATGACGTTTCCACTTTTTTGTCTACTCTACTGTTTTTTTTTAACTCTTTTCAATATTGACAATTGAAATTTAATATACTTCTAGTATATTTAAGTCGACTACAAAAAACTTCAAATTAAAGTTGAGAAAAATATTATAATTTACTATGAAATATAGTAAATTTAACTATTTATTTTTTGATGTGTATGCATATTAATATTGAATATGGTTCAACATTAAATTGAATATGAAACACTTTAATAACAAATTTTTACACTTTGATTTGAATATTTTTCGTATTAAAATCACTAATTGAATATGCTTTTTAGTAAATATTTACGATTTTTATATTTGATTTGAATATGAAATAGTAGAACATTAAATTTAATATGAAAATATTCACCTGTACTATGTTACTTTTTTATCAGTGCTGTCACGAGGACTGAACAAACGGTTTAATAATAATAATCGAATTTTGTTACCCAAGCAAATTTTCACCACATTTTCGAAATGTAGAATTTTAGACATTAGTTTTGTAAATTCGTAAACCAACTTGAGAGGACTGTCAACCAGTAACGAGGACTACTACAAAAAAATATCGAATTTCGTTACCTAAGCAAATTTTCACTACATTTTCTAAATGTGATCATTGGCTTTTTAATAAATATTGAACTTTAAGGAATGTTACAAGTATATTGAGAAGTGTTTGAGCTCAGGAAGTTAAACCTGCATTTGTAATTATTGCACTCACCTTGGCATCTAGTCTCCATGTCCGCAAAGAAGCCGGGATAGGGCTGCTCATCACAATAAAAGTTTGTATAAGGAATGGCAGATAATATCGGATAATCGACACCGGGGCGACCTGTAACAAATATAACAATTTTTCCTCTGATTAATATTACTAGGCAATAGGACCTTCTAATAATTAATAGCGACATAGTTTCCTGCAGCGACACCCCCTGCAGTAGTCGCTGTTGTTGTTGTTATTGTTGTTGGTTTTCCAGATGCTATTGCTGTTATTGCAATTAGCGACATGAAACTATAAACAAGGCTTGAAAAAAATTATACGGTTTCCAATCAATTTCACTTCATGGTGTGTACTCTTAAAAGAAATCGCAGCCTGCGGTGTTGGACATACAAAAAAAAAAACAAAAAATAAATGAAACACCACATTGCCTGAACGACGCACCACCTTCCTCTACCCCTCTCCTCCCACCCCTACCCCTACCCTTTAGACATTGGCAGCAAAGTGTCAAATGCAGGCCAGGCGGCAGCAGCAAAAACGGGAAGCATAAACAAATCTGAGGCGACCGGCGCAGTAGTGAGCAATCGGAACGGCGGGACCCCACTCGCTAATAAATGAATTTACGAGTAGATGCACTTCTGTGCCAAATATTCAGCCGAAAAATAATTTAAAATGTTTTTTCTGTTGCCACTCACACAACACATACATACACATACACATATACATGGGTTGTAGCAAAAAATGCATTTGAGGCTGGCTGCTGCTCTGCTGATGTGAGACGCAAATGAAAAAAAATTTATTGATCTATCCTCAACCCCCTCAGCCCCCCAATAACTGTCCACGACAAGGCAGTTTCGGCTTTTAGTCTACAATAATACTCGACTTGGGTTGTGTGTGGTGCTGGCCTGGTTAATGACCAGGGCGTGCGCATATTGATAGACTTGTCATCAGCAAACAACAAAAACAGCAGAAACAACAAAGACAACAAATTACTGTCAATATGTTCTTTGTAGAGTTGTGCGCGTGATAAAAACGGAATGCACATCTCGCGTTCACCATTTAAAACATATCAATGTGCATTACAATGTGTATTTACATATTACAGCAAAAATATTACGTGGCTATAAATAAAATATTTGGTATAAATATTTATCAATAATAGGCACAACAAACCTTAAGTTTTATTAAAAACTAAAACTTTAACTAATAAGACTTTAGCTGATCTTCGATTTCAATAGTTCAAGTCTGCTTTTGATCGAAAACTTCTTTATTTTGATAAAATGAAGCAAAAACAAGAAAGGAATGCTAAAGTCGAGCAGGCTCAACTCTTAAATACCCTGTACCACCCCACAAAAAAGTAATTTAATTAATTAATTAATTTAATTTAATTAATTAACTAAATTAATTTAATTAATTAACTAAATATTAACTAATTAAATATAAAATATTCCATGCATGCATACATACATTTACATTTACATCAGAATCGTGCCTTATGCGTGTTTGTGTACTTGTACATATGTATGTATGTGTGCATTGGGCCTGGTTATATGGCTATAACTTTCTTTTTGATCATTCTATCATAATGAAACTTGGTATACGGATATATAATTACTAACCTAATGTGACTACCAAATTTAAGTTTAAAATTCCAAGAATTATGGGAGTTATAGAAAATTGGTAATAGGGGGGAGTGGGGGGTTGGATCAGAAAAAATGAACAAACTTGTCCTTTCTCGGTCTCAGGAGAATCTGTATACCAAGTTTGGTTATTCTAGCTCTTATACTTTCGGAGATCCTTGCGTTCATACAGACAGACAGACGGACAGACGGTCAGACGGACAGACGGACATGGCTATATCGACTCGGCTTGTCATGCTGATCAAGAATATATATACTTTGTGGGGTCTACCAAGCCTCCTTCTGTGTGTTCCATGTGCACTCGCACAAAACTAATATACCCTTGTACCCTTTGGGTACAGGGTATAATTAAATTTTAAAAATAAATAAAATAAAACAAGACAAGAATGCTAAAGTCGAGCAGGCTCCACTCTTACCCTGTACCACCCCACAAAAAAATTAATTAATTTAATTAATTAATTAATTAAAATATACATCAGAATCGGTTCTATTCGTGTTTGTGTATTTGTACATATGTATGTATGTATATGTGCATTGGGCCTGGTTATAGGAAGTTATAGCCATATATATAACTTCCTTTCTAATCAACCTATCATAATGAAACTTGGTATACGGATATATAATCACTAACTGGATGTGTTTTTTTTTAATTCCAAGAATTACGGGAGTTATAGAAAATCTTGAATAGGGGGGGAGTGGGGGGTGCATCGGGAAAAATGAACAAACTCGTCCTTTCTCGGACTGGATACCAAGTTTGGTTATTCTAGCTTTTATACTTTCTGAGATCCTTGCGTTCATACAGACGGACAGACAGACCGACAGACGGACATGGCTATATCGACTCGGCTTGTCATGCTGATCAAGAATATATATACTTTGTGGGGTCTGCCACGCCTCCTTCTGTGTGTTACATGTACACTCGCACAAAAATAATATACCCTTGTACCCTTTGGGTACAGGGTATAATAACTATTTAAAATATTATTAAAAATTCGGGTTGTTGGACTATATTTTTGTTAAAATAATGCCCAATAAATAATAAATTTAAAAAACGCCGAATAAGTCTAACTTTTGTTCCAAATATAAACAAAAACTACTCTCATTCCAACTTTGACATCGAAATTCTCTAAACAGCTATGTTATTATTTTATTTTATTATTATTATTATTATAATAAATTATTTTTATTATTATTGAATGCTTGTGGAGCGTAGACCAATATGATTTCTTTTAAAAATAGACAAGCTTTTTCGGTGTCTTTCTTTTAGATTCTTTTTTGAAAACAACAAGAACAAACTTCAATAAATATGCTCGAGTAAATATAAGACTTGTGTATATCCAATTATTTAAAGACAGTTAAGTTGCACCATAATATTTTTATTGCCGATTCTGTGTAACTGTTACTGTGAGTTTTAAGCATTTCGTGGTAATTTGTTTCACAGTAATTTGTCAGCTTAATAAGTAGTATCTCAATTACCTGGTATAGATTTGCCCAGTTCCAAATATTCGCGCACCGAGGGACTCAGAAAGTTTGTTGGTATTTCCGGCAAATCCTTCTCCTGACTACCGCTCTCATCATTCTCCAAGTCCTGCTGCGGTTCGGGCTCAAAGTTGACCGGTTCGGGAGCGCGTGGGCGTTTGGCTCGCTTCGATCTCACAGTCTCATGGCAGTCTGTAATTTAAACGGCAGCAAGAAAAAAAAAAATTTCAATTATTTTCATTGTTTGCTTTTGCGGCCAAGCCTTAATTTAAAGTTCAAGGTATTGGTAACAATCGAATTTCCTACAAACTGTACGAAATTGAATGCAAATCGCATTAATGTCAAGATTAAAAATTTGTTGTTGGCGTGTACCACACCCACTAATAACAACAACGAAAAAAAATCATGTTGCGAATGTTTTTAATGGCTTTACTCAACTTTAACCCCGACACATTGTCAACACTCCACGATGAGATTTTTGGCGCTGTCCGCTGTTGCGAAATATCCAACGGCTTCAAAATTACGCCATGTTTTGTCATTTGTTTAGCAATCAAGCTCGTAACAGCACGCAAGAAAAGTAATTGGACAGCTTGCTTTGAAGCAGAGCTAAAAATCTTCTCTGCACCTGTCCAATTCGGAAAATATTATTTGTTTTAAAAGGAAGGGACTGTAAACATAGGGAGAACAAAACTATTTAAATATTTTGTGCCATATAATCTCAAGTAACATAATTCTGTTAACCATTTAGAACGGAATGTTTTTCGAAAACTGGAATATTAACGAAACAAATTTTCGTATATTCTCACAGCAAGTTTAAAAATAAAAAATGATTCTGAATTCTGAGAATCCTGTTCTTATTCTTGCACATACTTGTATAAGAACAAGACAATTTAATATTGGGACTTATGGTTTCATGAGTCACAAGTCGGCAACTAAAATTGCGTGTGAAAGAGAATTTTGGGATTATATGTCTCTTTCAGATTTCACGAAATTATCAATAACTTGCCTTTTGTTAATTACAAACAGCTCTGAGTCACTTTATTTAAAGTATTTACGAAAAAAATCGTATATTTGTTACAAAAAATGCACACAATCTGATAAAATTCCAGCTCTAGTGAACAACTGAATATAAATCTAATTATGTTGCTTAATATATTGCTACTAATATATTAATATTAAATTAATACTTAGTTGTTTATTTTATGATGAAAATAGATAGAACGTTCCGATTCTCAACCATTATTTAACTTTAAAGATCATTCACCTCAGACAGTGGCTTGTCAATGTACTTTTGCCATCGAGTGTAGCTGCTGCGGACAAGTTCTATGCAACAAGCTGTGGTTGTTGACCTTGCTGTTGCAATTGCATCTTTCGTATGCTTATGTTTATATTGTTGTTGTTGGTGGTGTTGTTGTTAATGGTGTTGTTTATTTTTTTCGCATTACAGTGGGAAAATTCTTTTGCGGTAATTACTCAATATGTATTATTTTACCAAATAGTTCTTTTGAGCTCACTAACTGAATAAAGTTTCTGCGCATGCTATTCAGATACTACCATATGCTGAACACATTTTCGTGAGTTGGCTTTCCGCCATGAACTTAAACTATATTTACTGCCTTGAATCATTTAATTGCGTGCTTTATTTAAATCGCTTTTGAGTTTTTTCTCTTTATTTTTTTTTACATATGTATAGTTTGCAGCTGCAGGGCAGCAGAGTGCGAGTAAAACTCGTTCTTAATTTTATTCTACATTTCGCAAAATGTATTCACGTCACTCTGTAAATCTGTTACTACACGAATGTTTGTTGCCGTAATTGACCTTAACCTTGTTCCGCTGTCCTATATAGTAAATGTTTTTGTCGCTGTTGGTGATATAGGCACTCGTTTATTTATCGAACGTGGTCGTGCAATTCACATGCGCACTACATACCGCTTTTTATTATCAATGATATGAACTTAAGTGAATGACAGGATTTTTAAAACACAAACCGAAATCGAATAACTAAATTATAATTATTTGACTTGCCGCAAACTTAGTAACAAGTTGTTTACCTTTTAGATCGAATATGAAATGCTTTTTATTTTATTTTTTCTAAATATAAGCTCTTTTCAAAAAAGTATTTTAATGCATTATTGATGAAGAAAACACATAAGTACATATGTATTTGATGTATTATTGATGAAAAAAAAAACCTACTATATGTACAATTTTGCATCGTTAACTAACTAGAGAGACATCAAGCTTGAATAGAGTCATAGTCGCAATTTATTTCCCCTACCTGGGTATAAGACTTTCTCCATATTCAGTATCTCGGCAGTCTATATCAGGCGGAAGTAACAGCGATACAGGAGACCTCACGACAACTACGTCTAACCAATGTAGATAGCAGATCCATTGACAAATCCACAATCATCCCAGCTTGCCGTGGATTTCTTAACGAGGTAGCCTAACAGCGGAACATTTATGGTAGGGAACTCCATTGCTGAAGAGCTGGCAGGAGAGTGACTCTCACTGTCAGACTTGGCATTTCATGCAATGATTTCTGGATAAGCTTTAGAGATAATATTGTTGGTGTCCAGCATTTGGAAACTCACTTCCAAAATGATCTCACAGATATACTAAAAGTGGAGACTGCTAGACTAGTTAAATTTCAGTGCAGCCGAGTGGTTAAAAGAGGGCTTTTATAGCATCACAAAGAGCTCATTACTAAATGCAGACCTCTTATTATTATACCCTAAACCCAGGGGATCAAATGGTATACTAGTTTTTTGTGCGAATATAACACAAAGGTGGAGGCGTGACAGACCGCCAGGTCTGTCTGTCCGTTTGTATGAACGCAAGGATCTCAGAAAGTATAAGAGTTAGAGTTTACCAAACTTGCTAAAAAAAAAAAAATTCCCCAATCTGATCAAGTTCGTATTATTTTTCTTTACATTCTCGTAGAAGCATATCTTTAGAAGATATTGTGAATAAATCAATGTGTCGTTTGCTGTTGTTGCCATGAACTAAGGCTGCTGGTCTCAGTAAAATGATTTATTAATCTTTATTTTGCCAGGAAACGGACCCAACTCTAAAGAGTCTTCGCTATACCTGACTTTTTCTTCGAAGACAATGTGTTTTCTTGGGTGTTTTTTATTTAATTCCTATTTCATGGTTTGTTAATTTTCTCTCTCCCTTTGGTCTTATGTTTCTTTTTTAATAAAAATACAACTTCGTGACGGATCTATAAAACATGAAAGCCTAGAGATCTCTTCTTATGTTGTAATCATTATAAGTGTTATTAAAAAAATTACAATATAATGATTATTTTTTAATTTTATTCATTCGCTCAGAATTTAATGATTAATTTTGAGTTTTACTTTAAAACTTAACCAATAATCATTATTGATGAGCAAAAAAATAAAACTTATAAAATAATGATTTTTTTGATCAAAAATAAAACTCAAGCTGAAATTGTGTCTATTCCATGAGGATTAAGGACATAATTTATATATATCCTTAATCAGTGAGTCAGGGCGAACATTTTGAATTCCTCGCTTTCTCAAAGTTACTATAAGTGAATGATTTTTTCGTTTAAAAAAAAAACAAAATAATCATTATTTGCGGTCCCTGGTTTAAATAATAACAAGAACGAACAGATAAATGGGATCTTGTGTGTCATATAATAATAAAGTGATTAACAAAAATATAGCATAAGCATATAGCATTAACACATTATTAATTAGGATTATAATGAAAGAACAGTGTAGACGTCGAATGTGTATTAGCCTCAAGGATAAATAATGGCTTATGTAGTTCTTATATGCACTCTATTTCAACAAACAACTGTTAACTTCTCTAACAACTTCTTTTCTCTGATTTGACGACCGATGCGGCTAACTGCTAAGTACTGTCTCGACTGAAAACTTCAAACCAAGTGAGTACCGAGTAGGGATGAGGATGTTGATTCTGGGTGTTCCACCAATGTCCCTTTCCTACCTTCCCATCTTACATAACAACATGAATTTCTTAATCCCCTAATTGATGCATTTTCAGGTGTAAACCATAAATATTGTTGCTTTCACTAAAGCCAAGAACGATTGCGCTCTTAGTTTGAATTGGCAAGACAGGCAACATTTTTGTTTTTGAGAAACTCGAACAGGGACTACCTTTTTTTGGCATTAAATTAGGCAAATTAGCTATTAGTTGGTGTTGCTTTAGTTGTTGTTGCTGCTGCAGATTGCGGCCCAAAGCAAAAACCAATCAGCACACCCACAAGCACACACTCATAAGCCGCATAAACATGCAATTAACACACACACACACACCTACTATATTCTCACACACACTATCGGCAAAATTGCATTGCAACATGAAATTTCGTAAAAATGGCAACAAAATTTATTACAATTGAAATAATTACCGCGAAAATACAATCAAATGGTAATTAGAGTTGCGCCCCAACAACAACAATAACAACAACAACAACAACAACAAATGCGAACCATCGACGACAAATTGTACAACACACACAAAAAACAACAACAACAAAATTATTATCTATATGTCGGTGTCTGTCTATTCGCTGCTCTCGCGGTGAAAATGTCAAAAGCTGTGCGTAAGTAAAAACGCGTGAGTAAGAAAAAAGTATATATGTACAAGTATGTATGTATGTATATTTGTATTCGCGCAACACTTTGGGATTTTGCGGCGGATGCAGTGCGTCATGTTTGATGGTGGCACACCCCTATGCCACGCTAGGCGTTGGTCAACTGCCTGCTGCCGCCTGCCTACGTGTGGTTGTTTGTGTTGCAAGCTTTAGCAGCTAAGTGCTCCGCTACTCACCTCTATCATAGCCAAATGGTTGGGCTCTGGTCGCGGCATAATTAAAGCAATTGCCTTACGTACAGTTACAGTTAACGAAATTGAGGCAGCTTGAAAATTAAAAAGTAACAACAACCACAACAACACACGTTGCCCCGATATGCCGTCTGTTATGGCGGCAGTACACACGCACACGCATTTCACAATTGTAATTGCGATTGGTTTTTGCGTTTAATTTTGTGCAAACACACGCACACACACTTTGGCAATTGATACACACTTGTAAAAGGTATAAGAGGTTTAGAACTCTCCATTGAAGTAAAACAAAACGTACAAATCGTATGATAGTGACTCAAAAGCTCAAATCGATGCGAGCTTCCCTGCGTAGA